TGTGGGCCCGCCCGCACCGCGGGCGCTTAGCTAGTAGTAATAATAAAACAACTTATGTGGCACAGGAACCCAAACCCTGTTGCATATCAAGAGCTCCATTGCGCCGCCTTCGCGGCTATCCCCCACACTCCCTGAGGCAGCACATGACAGCAATGACCATTCACAATACATACCGAATCCAGCTCTGCTTGCTCACTCTCCACTGCATTGCGATACAATTCCATGGCACCAGGAGGTGGACAATATACCAGTGGTTCCTGGAGAGAGATGTCAATCAACACAAGAATGAGGGTAGGGAAGGACACAACAAGCAAGGCAAAATGTTCAAGGTGGCCCCATTCTCTTATGCCCTTCTTGAATACTGCAGAAAGTGACGGCCTCTTCTATTTCCTGATTGCCTTTCTGGCTGCCCAGTCTCCGTAACCCCACATCTGCATTGCCTTTAACAGTTTGACCTACTTCAGAAGGATAATGTCCTACATCAAATGACCCACACAGAATCAGTCTGAGATTTATGCAGTTTTCTGACTATTGCTGCTTGATGGTTGGATTTGTGTTACGATCCTGGCCAATTCCGAAGTGCAGATACACAAGGAAAGACAATGCCGTTCAATTGCAAACGAAATGAAAGAACTTGAAAGGAGAAAGAGACAAGGGAAGGAGAAGAAAGAAGGAAAAAAGAAGAAGAAGAAGAAGAGGTACACGCTGCAAAAGACCAATGACAAATCCGCCTTCTCTCGCCACTCACTCTGCTACTCCTTATCTTCCCCAAACTTATTCATCAATGAATAATATTATAATAGTGATAACAATGAATGGCTAAACCAGAACCAATGTCCAAATCTCCCTCTTACTGCCAGCATTAAATGAGGTCCACCATAGCCATGACCTTCTCCTTCTACCTCCTCCGGTAGGTGATGACTATGGCGGACCACTAGGGGACCTGCCGCGATGTTCAAAAGACAATGCGAAAGCATCTGTCCTCTGCAACTCAGGCCGCCATGCCTGACTCTGCCCTGAAGCCTTCTTGATGCAGTGCAACCCCTACTGGGGCCTTCCAGGTGCAGCGCCTACCAAAGAGATGAAGATGTCGACCTCCATAGCTGGTAAACACCCCTAACACTCTAGTCGTCAACCCCTTCTTCCTCCTCCTCCTTCCTGGTCCATTCCACCATAGCTAAGGTGGATGGCCAGGCGCTCCTCCCAGCTCTCTAAACCAGCGCACTACCACCAGGCACTCCAGCAGCATGACACCCAAACTTGCACACCGCAAATGAAGATGAGCCTATTGCCCTCCTCCAAGATATAGTAGCAACTTGCCTCTTGGACGGTGACGTCCAGGCCGCGCGGCCTCCCAAGCAACCGATACCTTCATCATTGCAGGTCTGATATTCTCTGCTACAGGCCCTAGACTCAGTCTTCAGGACTTGTACCCTAGACCTAGGCCTATAGCGGCAACTTGCCTCTTGGGCGGTGACTTCCAGGCCATGCAGCCTCCTAAGCAACCGGTACCTCCATCATTGCAGGTCTGATATCGTCCGCTACAGGCCCTAGACTCAGTCTTCAGGACTTGTACCCTAGACCTGGGCCTCCTGGACTCTAAAATTCACAAGGCCTCCAAAGGTACTAACTTTTTGTCTTCTTCTGCTCGGCCTACCGCTATTCAAGTACTACACCTATGCTACGCAGGCCTACACTACCGGTACTTGAGTGCTAGCCTACGCTACTTGAGTGTCTCCCCCCTGCAACCCTCAAAAGTCACGGCCACAGGTAAGTACCGGCCCTGAGGGCCTCCCAAACAAACAAGTACCCTGGCGGGTCACACATACGCACTCAGGCAGACATGCACTCAGACATGCACACGGAAACCGGCAAGCACGCACACACACAGACTTAGAAATCTCAGCAGAAAGCGGGAATCTCAGCACGGCACACGTTCCAGCAGCGAACCTCAGAAATCAGCAGGGTTCTCAGTCTGTGTTTTTATCGGTCATTACATTTGCTGAGATTTCCATGTTCTGAGTTAGACTGCTATTTGGTTGCATCTGCCTAAGTTCCTATGGGACGATTGCTATGTGGAGTAGTAATGTGTCCTCCCATTGTGTTCTGGGAAGGGGTAGATGGAAATAAGGGAAGTGCAGGGATAGTACTGAAATTGGACCCTGCACAAACTCCTAGAAAGGCCAGCACAGTCAAGGACATAAGTAGAATTTGGTAAGTACCCGGTAGGGATTTGTGATTAGTAACTCGGGCCGGCCCAACTGAGGTCCCATAGGCTTAGAACAGCCCTGTAGCTTCCAAAGAGGTCACGAGTAGTCAGCGGCCCAAACGTAGTTAGCTTCTAGGCTAGGATTCCAGTCTGCAATTATGTTCCTGCCAAAAGGCAAAAAAAAAAAAAGAAAAAAAAAGGGACTTCTGGTAGGCCTACCGTCTGGACCAGAATAGAACGCCCAGTCATTATCACTGTATCTATAGACTGAAAGTTGCAGCAAATACAGCTATAATGACCGGGCATTCTATTCGGTTGAAGACAGTAGCACACCGGAAGAGGCAGTGATTGGAGCCCGAGTTGCAAGACTGTATTGTTCAGCCAAAATGAGTGAGGAGGCACATTACTCGGCATTCATGCTGCTGCTCCATCCAGTGGGCGATGTTAGGCAGGGTTCTAGCTGAGCGGTGGAGCAGGAGGGTGAAGGTGAAGACCTCCATGGCTATCCATTAGTAGTAGTAGTAGGGTGTAGGCCTAGGCTATGGGAGGAGAGGGTGAAGGACCTCAAGCTAGGCAACGGTGAAGAGTGAAAGATGAGAGTAGACATTGAGGAAGAGGAAGGAGGAGAGAACTGACATGGGAGATTCACATTCAGCCATGGTAGAGCTTCATCTCCACTTCCTTGGTTGGCACTACATCTAGAAGGTCCCTGTGTGGGTACCGGCTGCTCTTGGACTTCATCCGAGAGTGTGGCTATGGCGGAACGAGATGGGAGAGGCATAGTAATAGTTGCATTGTCCTTTGAACACACGTGGCGAACCACCATAGCTAGAGATGCAACCGAGAGGAGAGGAGTGAGGTTGCGGCTGAAAGGAGGGCTCTTTGACTGCGCGCAGCAAGGGGGAATACTCAGACATGACTCCTTTTCCTTCATTGATTTGTTGTTGCAAATAATTGATTATTTGACGAGGAGGAGGACAGGGAGAAGAAGATGAGATGGAGAAGAAGAGGACTCAGACCTGATCACCAGCCTGCTTCCCTGTGGGATTTACCAAAGGTTGCCACCTTACCCTTAAGCTTCACCCTGCCGTATTCGTTCAGTACCTGGATCTATTTTTAGGCCTGCCAGGTGCAGGCCAAATCCTCATGTCATGACAAAGTCCTGGTTGGGAGAGTTGCAGAATACCCTCTTTTTTTTTTTTTCTTTTCTTTTTTTTAAGTCCAGCTTGTTGTAGAGACTGGATACCCAGCAAATAACAGTCCCTTCCGTAGTTGGCCATTTGATTGTCCAGATGATCTATCCTCAAGGTCAGTTGCGCAAAAGAACAAGGACGAACACAGAATCTTTCAAGCAATGAGAGGGCAAAATTGAAAATACAAGGACTTCCAAATTTTACATTATAATTCGTAGTTTCCGCAATAAAATAATACGACTCGCTTGGCTGCAAAGCCATTGACTCTTGCATACATTAGGTGCTGCTACTTGCACAGAACTGAACGAAGAAAAGGAGATGCTACCTTTCTGTCACACATCTTTCATCCATTACAATCTTTAGTGCCTATATTTTCTTAGTTCATTTAGGAGTCGGCTAAGTCCGCTGTCCACAGTGGAGAAGGTTCACGTGTAGCGTGTTCACATCCTTCCGGAGTAGCCTGTCCACAATCCACTAACCTCTTCACACGGAAAGATCTCACCCTCCTGACCGAACTCGTTCATTTTCCATCCCTCAAAACTTCTGTCACTGCTGCAGTTGAAGGGCCATAGTTGGGTGAGAGAGAAGGAAGCGAGGAATCGTTACCTCGATCAGCCAGTAATCCATATCTCTATGAGGTAAGGGTTGTTCTCCACAACAGTCACTCCTTAGGGGATCCATTCCATCAGCTCCGAACCCGTCCGTCACAGCATCCTTCTCCTTCTCCACTTCCTTCTGCACAGGAGTTTTTGAAACTGGCAACCCAGGCCCAACACTCAGCCCCTTCCTCCTGTATATGTTTCTCAAGCCGTCCTTGCCACCGGGAGCTGCAGCACCCATGTCGACCCCTCCAGGACCCCCCTCTCTCTCGTTATCTTCTTCCGCCAAGCCCATTGCTATCTTGCTGTCTCCAGTTTCTGTGTTTGGGGCATCAGCCTCTATACCTCCCACACTTTCATCACTCTCCTTAAATTGCTCCTCCTTGCTAACTTCTTCAAGGCCACCCAGACTGGTATCTCCTTCACTCTTCGTTTGCGCAATGTTGTCAATTTGCCTCCAGAACTCCATCTTTGATGCCAAGGACAAAGTGTTATTTCTCTGGCCCAACTCCCGCTCCTCAGGGTTCAGGTACCTCCTCTTTTTCTCCCCACCGGTGCTACGAGCGAGCTGCCATGCCGTAGTTATTTTCCACATGCGTTCCTGGAAGAAGAGCACATGCAAACTCGTCACCGATCAAAGGCTGCAAAATTCCACAGCGCACCGCTCTCTCCCCTGAGACTGGGACACAGCCTACCGTCTCCCCCCGAACATAACGCGTATCCGTTGTATTCCAAAAATAATCGATTTTTCAAAAGTTAGTCCACTTTTCTTGAATAGAAGGGCATGTGCGGACTTTTCTCGGATAGAAGGGCAGGAAGAGAAGGGCATGTGCGGACTTTTCTCGGATAGAAGAGCAGGAAGAGAAGGGCATGCGCGGACGTTTCTCGGATAGAAGGGCAGGAAGAGAAGGGCATGTGCGGACGTTTCTCGGATAGAAGGGCAGCACGCATATGCGTTGTCTTCAAATAAAAAGCATATGTGGTCGAATAAAAAAGCATGTGCGTTGTATTCGAATTGCCAAAAGAAAGGGAGCGTTGCATTCGAATAGAACTTTTCTTTTGTTTTCTTTTTTGTTTTCGAGGCTAGTGCCTGCTCTGTTTTCGCCCTGGTTACAGGGACAGGACCCTGCAACTCTTGGCGAGTTGAAGCTATCAACCCCTACTCACAGATGAGTTGTGTTTTGGCATTGGGCATAGCGCCCACAGCCAAGAAAGTGGCAGTGCGAAGCCAGGAGGGATTCTATGCGCCTCATCCACCACTCACCAAGGGCCTCACTGCACTACTCACCACTTCTTTTTTTTTTTTTATACTCACCACAAGCACAAAAGACATACGGTGTTGCATCTTTGCATGTTCCGGCGGAAGATTCATTCTCATTTTGCACATTTGGTGAGGAGTGGAGCGAGGCCCCAAGTTGGGAAAGGAGAACGAATCTTCGGCTAGAGCGTGGAAGCACATTTTTTCCCTTCTCTGGGTGTCATGGTCAGTGGAACGAGGCCCTCGGCCACTGGTCAGAACTGAGCCTACTCAGCCTGGACCCGCCCCCCTTGTGTCCGTGAACTTGTTTTACTCAACTCGGATATAAGCCATATGCCAATTAAACGAATACAACGCAACCTATGCATCGTATTCGTTTACAAAGCATATGCCTTATGATCGGGGGAAGACGGTAGTGCAGCGACATAATGCAGGACAGCGACATACTGGCGTTTCATAGGGGCACACTCTACTCGTCACGGACTGTTGAGAGCGACACACCAACAGACCGGCCTTTCATAGGCATAATAACTGAGAGCATAGAAGCAGCAAAAAAAAAAGGGCTGGGTTGTATTGAGCTGGATTCACCACACCAAGACTCCAACAAGTTTCTCACTGCCTGAATAAGAGACACAGAAGGGCAATGCCAGAATCCTGATCCCCTTCATCTATAGACTGATCCCCTTTATCTATAGACTGATCCCCTTTGTCTAGTATACATTTTGTCCTCCATGAAAGTCAACCATAGTAAAGTCAAGTGGTCAGAAACTTGTCCTATTGTCATCATCTGTCTGATATCATCCTGTGATATCTCAACCCCGATTTGCTTCGGTAATTGTAAACATCTGTCTGATATCACCCGTTGATATTTCAACCCCAATTCTGTTTGAGGATTACCGGCAGTAACTTTTTTCGGATACTCTACCGTTCATAGTAACTCGCATGCTTATGCAGTTATTATTCCAGCGGGCCATAAATCTGTAGCTCAGTAGCTGAGTCGAGTTTTGATTGTCGCTTTAGCATCATGGTTTGATCCTGGGTGGTTAACACTACAGTCTTCACCCGAATACAACGTACCGTCATTATAGCTGTATTTGGGCTATCTTGCCGTTTAAATACAGCCATAATGACCGTACGTTGTATTGGGGTGAAGAAGGTAGGGTAGGACAGGGGGGGTGGGGGTGCACCAGGGCAAAAAGATGAGAGGAAGGGTGGGTGGGGTCTTCAGAGGGGTTCATCTGGACAACCAAGTGGCCAGCAGTTACTGTGGGTGACTGTCATCTGTCTAGTATCCCACCTCTACAACAAGCTGGGCTTTTAGGGGGGGGGGGGGAAGCATCAATCATGGTTTCCTCTCTTGGTCGATGGGACTTTGGACCCATTTTCCAGCATAAGCAGAAGCCTCAAAATCATCTGTTGGATTTCATAATTCACAATCAAAGCCTTGGTCACTGGACTCCCTTCGGAAAAGAAAACAAACATTGCGGAACGTGTATGATGGTACTATGACCTTATTCAACCCCACAGAGAGTGGGATGTCTTTGTGGGACAAGTTTTTTTATAAAGGGACTGGAGAGCTAGAAGGCCCTCTACATGAGACCCACATCCCCTTTCAAACCGCACACCACACTTTCCACAGTGGTTGGCTTTAGGTCTACCTGAAACTCAGGCCCTATCACCAAGCCGAGCTGCAAATCTTAAAGCACTACCACTGGACACGCTTCCATGTTTTTTTTTTTTTTTTTTTTTTCTCCCTTTTTTTTTTAATTATTGCTGTGCCTGAGATGCAGTGAAAGAAAATGACCCTTGGAATTTTTATCCAACCATGATTACTGAAGCAGAGCCTCCAGTCGGTACACCCATGAACTATTGAAACACAAACCCACGTTTGAATCCAGATACTCTGATACTGTCGGATGAACATTTCATTTCTGCAACCCAGGGATGGCAAGCTTTCCACCCAGAAATGCCCATACCAGAACTCCCTTTTGACCCTGAAGAATGGGTATGGCAGGACAGTAGGAAAGGGAAACCACTCACCTTGCAATCCCTTTCAGTTAAAGCAACCTACAGACTGATCAGACCCAAAGTGGATGACGTGGCGGTAGTCCAGGGAAGATGGGCCAGACACCTGAATATAGACATTAATGGTATCAGACATATCAAGTTATTGAAAAACATAACGCAAAGGCCAGCAAAAGTTTCCTCTTTGCAGTGGCAAAACTTTTTTTTTTTTTTTTTTTTTTTTTTAAATGCTCCAATCTATTCGTGGGGAGCAGCACGTGCTGGGAACCGGGCCCAGTTTCCCTTATAATTGGAATACATTTATGATTGATGAAAATTTGGGATGATTCAGGGATACTTCAGGATGATTGAGATAATAAGCTAGAGATTGATGCTGACTACTCGGAATGCTTATCTACTCCTTCCACAAATGATTGGATCTTCAGTCATGCATCTCCCAAACGAAAAGGGTGGTGTAAAGCCCGTATCCGAGTTTTTCCTAGTAGGAAGTGATGTGAGACAATATAACATCATGCAATGCCAGGGGCCTGTGCTCATACGGAGGCGTTGGGACTCTGTATGGAGGAACCTTACTACTCTAGACTGGCTGTGGGACTGGAAAGCACTTTTACTTGGCCACTGGTCCCCCCCCTATTGGAGCTCACAAACTTTCAATCCAACCTGTTCGATCTGGGAAGAAAGGCGATCCTATGGACACTTTGGTACAAACAGTGTGTACATGAGGGAAGATGTAGCACTTGAGAGACCAGAATTAGTTGAGCAAATTATCAACTTTGTCCAAACAGAGATCAGAGCTCACTGGGTAACCACCAAAAACAATCTAAGAAATCTCTCGCAAAAAAATGATATTAACAAAGCAATTCAAAGATTTTCTAAGGACTGGCTGGGTGATTCAAAGGAGAGAGCTCTGGGGGAGGTGATCTGGCCGGGGTCAGAGGACAAGGAAGGCCCTATCCAGAGGAATTTCCATCTGACCTTCAAGGACTGGTTTAAGGCACCACCAGGAGAAGTGCTCAGAGATCTGTCCTGTTTCCCGAATCCCTTCCCCTCATCCAATCTAGCCCTAGTGGAACCACCGTGGTTCGGCCAAGAGTGAAAGTAGTATCTACTGCTTGGGGAAACGACTGCTAGTAATCAAAGCAGAATCTGACGGTCCAATAATGGTCTGAAGAGGCAGTCAATTTCTCTGGGTTTTGATGTTTTGTTCAAAGGGACGCTGGGGCCGGTTCCCAGCAAGGTGAAAGAAAAATAAAAAATAAATTACGTGGGCCCGATCAGTTCAATGATGATATCTCAAGGCGATTGCCCATTGCTTGTAAAACATGTTTGCCGGTGATAAGCAACCGGACTGACGGCCCCCATATAGAAGGTGCTGGGTGTTTTGGGGGAAAAAAAGAAAAGGAAATGCAAACCCTCAGAACGTCCTCCCGGCTTTGAGAATAAGACTGTGTGATCATGGTCACACAGATCAGATCCCCCGGAGTCTATCTGAGTCTGAGACAAGAGGGGGAGCAGCTTGGAGGGGCGCTTGACACACGCGCGGTGGCTTGAGGCGCTGGAGGTGGCTACGTCACAGGCTGACGTGGCACGAACATCCGACACATGGCATTATGCGATGTGTTTCGCGTAGAGTTTCCATAGCTGTCACCTTTTAGTGGTGATTTATCAGCTCCTGTGGTTATGATTTTGGGTACATCGTATCTGTCATATCCAGTGGATACCAGCGAAGAGAGCCCAGAGTAACACCTAAGTGTGGAAGAGCGAACACTTATGCTGGAGGAAGAAAATCTAATTAAGTGACACAATCAAGCGTGGGAGAAAACGTCAACTCTTACCACAAGGAGATGGCGTTTTGTTGAGCAGGGGGAGCGTGAAGCATAACCATACTGTAGGCTGATGTGGACGCTCACGACCACGACGACCGGCGGTCAACTCATCAATCCAAAGTGCGACTCTACGGTTGGCATTCAAACTGTTCAACATACCATTCCAATGAGGAAGGAGGAGTGACAAATTTGGAGGTCAGGGAGGAGTGACAATTTTGAGGTCAACTCATCATTCCGAAGAGAGTTCCAAAGTATCACTCTAAGGAGAGAGGAGAAGTGATCCTCTCGACAAGTACTCAAGTTAACAGTCAAAGGAGATTAGGAGAAAGTAGGAAACAATTAGGGTATTGAAGGCTTCAGGTCAGAAGGCGTGGGTAAATTTGGTAATAAAGAGTAGAGGGAGACTCTGTGTAATGTTGGTAGGGTTCTCATAGAGTCAGATACTGGGGAGTGTATGTGGACCTACGTGGACCAAAAGTTTGCAGCACGAAG